TCACGTGCGATTTCCGAGCGTGCACGAGAAATTCAAGGATAAAACATTTGTCATTTGTCGTTCGCCCGACAGTAAGTGATCTGCCGTGGGCGAGCGAGTACTTTGAAGGCCCAATTTATGGGATGCATCAATCAATAATGGAATGAAATTACGATCCAGTCGGAGCCGGTGGAGGAGTGGGCCTCGAGCGACCTCTGAGCGTGGTGGACGCACTGGACTCGACGGGGCTGGCTGGAGGGCAAAGGGTGTTTAGATAGGCGGGGCGACGACCGTCCTTGCAGACCGAACGACCACGGCCGGACATCCTATTAAGGCTTACCCTTCATAATACGTAAGAGACGGGGGTCTGGGGGAGACTGGGGCTATCAAAGGACGACCTTGACGGAGGGAACTCAAAATATCCCAGTCATGTCGAATGCTGCAGCTTTCTCTAATTATTCCACCCTCGCTGGCGCAGTCGGGTCACGCCATTTGATCCCCGGATATTTTCGCATTAAGAAATGGATTCCGGGGATTCTCAACTCGTGTCGAGGCAACGAAGTCGGGAGAAGCACAAGTCTGCATGATCCCATTACAGGATTAGGAAATCTGTCGAGGGACAACGCCCGTTTTCAAATGAAAAATACCCGAGTAACAAGACCGTTTTCTCATCCGGATTCCTCAAAGCATAAGGGCGTGAGCACATAGGTCGTGAATACATGCCTTCGTGAGCGACCATGAAAAAAATTACAAAAACCTTGATTTTGCATTTTGAGCATTTCCTAAAATTCAACAATGACCCCCTTCAATTTTTACAAGAGATAATGAAAAAGAATACTAACAGCTACGCATAGTATCATCAGCTTCTCTTACTAGTGAATGTTTCATCGAGCCTCTTACCATACTGTAAGCCAGGGGTGTCAAACTCTAATCGGTCGGCGGGCCGCATTCCTCACCCTGCAGGTGCCTGCGGGCCGCACCCATAATTTTTCACCGAAATTTTGGCTAATGGTCAATCCAAGTGGAAATTTCAAGAGCAGACGGCGGGCCGGATCCGGCCCGCGGGCCGTATGCTTGACACCCCTGCTGTAAACAATACCAACTCATCATTAAAATGAAAATAGCTGCAATGCTCAAGGCGGCAAAGCTGTGAGTGGTCTTTTCAAATCTTCTATTTGATTAGGGTTTGATCATACCTCCAAAATATCCCTCAAATGTGACCTAACATTAGGCGATACTATTGAAACTTGAAAAAAAAAGGAAGAAAAGACTTCATTTTCATTACTGTACTTTAATGAGGTCAGGCAAATACAAATTGAGCTTTATCTCTCTTCTTGACCTCTTCATGCTCTAATAAAATTTTATGGATGGATGGAATGCTTTGGGGATGAAACACTTGATAGCTTAGTAGTTCGTTCATTTTTGAGCTTATGCAAAGCAGGCATTGGGACTTTGCATGGCATTTGAAAACCTAAAACTACCACATAAATACTGCTGATTCATCACATTTTTGCATGCTAAAATGATAAACCATTTTATTTTATCAACATCAGCAGAAAAAACCGAAGACAGTTTCTCTGATGCAATGATTGACTATAAAGAAAGACTTAATGGCCAAAATTAGCTTCACGTTGCTTCCCAATCACAACTGGATGCTTAGGTGGAGAAGGAAGCTTCATGTTGAAATCAGAAAGGGTCAACCCCTCCATTGCTCTTGTTGCATTATCTTCCCGGTCTTTAATAGGCCGTGGCTTTTCTTCCTCTTCTTCTTCTTCACCAAGAAGGTTCTTCAACTCTGCTTCCAATTCCTCCTGAGAGGCCTCTACATCAGAGAAGGCAACTGGGCGTGAGAGAGCCGAAGAAACTTCATGGCTCATGTCCAGAGTTTCTCCCATCTTGTCGAGAACATCCTCGATCCGATCAACATCAAGCCCACAGTTCTTGAGAGCACTTAAACCAGTCTGATAGGTGTCAAAGATGCGGGCATCAGAGTCAGACTGCCTCAAGCGATGCAGAAGGGAGGCAAGGTTGTCCAAAGCCTTCCACTTTTTCTCCAAGCTGGCCTCAATGAGTTTCTTCTTTCTCAGGCAAGACTTGGCTTTCACTCTGTTCCCTGTAACAAAGAATGCAAGACTTAAACTGAAAACATAACTCTACTTCTTGCATATGCCATCATGTTCAATTTCATACCAGCGTGGATACAGAGGCGGGCTTCCTCATTACAGAACTCCACTGTTGATGTGAGTTTGTCAATCTCCTGGGTGAGAACTTTCTCCTGCTTCTGAAGGTTGATCACAGCTAACTCTTGTTCTGTTATAGCACTAGCCACTTTTTCATCCCGACCACAGAACTTGACAAACTTCAGTTCCCCCTCAAAGCGCACAACAACAAGCCCTTGTTTCTGCAGCCAACCAATTACATAACCCAGGTTCTCCTGTGTCTTGCAGATATCACTCCATCTAGAATTTTCAACAAAAAAAGATAGTGTTCTTAGAAGGACTTCTTCCCTTCCAGTTTGAGAGTGATGAAAACGAAAAAAAAAAAGAAAAGACTACTTCAACAACTATATGTCTCTAGAATCCTCAAATCCACAAATGAGGAAATAAATCCCATTCTAACAAGTTCCAGGTAACTTTGGGACCCTCTGTTTCCATGATAAATCTCATATCTTCATATAGGTGAGGGTGACTAAGTCCTTGTTATATCATTAGAAGTGGCATGAGAATGGTGACGCATTAACCAATGCTAATTAAAAAAGGTCTTCCAATGATGTGGATAACCACAAGTTGCATTTAGATTAACTGCTACTCTTTCTCTCAGTCCACTGTAGTCCTTGTTGAAACAATGATTCATTCTCATTTTGCATCAAGTCTCTTCATTGCATTCCATACATTTTGACTGATGACAACATGAAAGTCACCACTCTGGCATGCTAGGATCCAACCAATCTCCAGTCAGTCTCCCAGTTATATGTTTGACTGTCTAGTCATCTCTTCAACTTCCCCTCTTATAGCACTATTCCCATGGTTACCATCCCAGTCTCATTGTCACATCTATGCAATGCTCTCCTCTGAGATGATTGCTAAAACAAACAAGCTGCTACAGCCATAACAGACTTGTGATAAATCCTTCCAAGCTATGACTTCTCAGGACTTTCATAAAGCATTTTTACTCAATTGGACACAAGTACCCTTTTTTTACATTGCAAGGACCAAAAACTGAAGAAAGTGAAGAAAAAAACCTACTAATTTATTATTATTTAAATTTAAAAAAATCAGTGAGATGCTGGATTTTCTTTTGATTTAGACAAAAAGGAAATAGTTAATAACAGAAAAAAACTTTAAGTCTCCTATTCAGTCACTTTTGATGCATATGAAACTAAGTCAGTGCAAATGGGTTAACAGCGTGAAATATTAACCCCTTAACTGAGAGTTTCACAAAATGCATTTTAACCTATGGGAGGTCAGACGTCAAAAGGGGGCTAACCCAGTTAACCCTTTCATGGCTGACTAAAGAAAACGAATAACTAGGACATTTTTTCACCGCTTTTCCTATCAAACAGGCCTAGCTAAAGATGGAGCTTGCAGAAAATTAAAAAAATATGTATTTATATATTCAAAAAGTTAATATTTTAATTACAGGAATCATCAACCGAAAAATATTGAATAACAGGTTCACATATGGAGAGTCCCTAAAACTTAGCATTTGTCCCAATTTCACCTGTTCGTTCTTATAGCATGCTGGCATCTTTTTCCCATTTCCAACAAAAAGGGGGGGAAAAAAGCTTACTTTTTCATTCAAAATTCCATTTCACAAAAAATAAAAAATATCAGGTCACAACTTTTCTTTTTTGATCCAACTTGCCTGAACTACAACCTATTTGAATGAATGATGCATCACCGAAGAGCCCTTTTCAAGAGCTATTATGTGATACCATATAAAACAGGTTTTGCTCAATGGTAACTGCAAGAGCAGTCTCAAAAGCTATGATCCTTAGAATGATCATACACCATGAAAGGGTCAAGGGGTTAATGACCATTAAGCACAATTAAGGGTTTTTGAAGACCACCCAATATTACAAAATTTTCAGCCTAAGAACGTTCCAAGGTCTGCTGAGATGCAAAAACTAATGCTCATGAAATATAAGATCTTTATAGTAGACCCTTATTTTAAAGTCCTTTAATGCTCTAAGGAATCAGACTTTACATGGTATTCCATGCATGCACACAATAGGTACATCCTCTCAAGTAGCCAGGAATATGCAAGCAAAACAATGAGGGGTACCAGTAATCACAATATTGCAGTATGCATAATTACATTTTAAAAGCATGCACTCATCATGGGTCAATGAAAACCTCATGAAATAGTATGTTGAAGGTTAATGCTTTGAGGAAAGCCAAAAGTACAAATTAGCCTACAGGAACCACTAACCGGTGAAAGACATCAGAGAATTCCAGAACAGAACAGTCTTCAGAAGAAGCTTGCTGAGCAGCAAGAAGGGTTTGTGCCAGTTCCTGGATCTCCCCAACAAGAAGGAATTGCATACTGGGAATAGATGATGGCTCAATAGATATGGCACTCTTCCAAAAATACCTCACAAACCCCCAACTCCAGTCAATCACTGGTTTTGCCAGGGATCTCCATGCCCACATGCTCCATCCTGAATGGCATGAAACATTAAGACACAATTGACAGAATGATCAAGACTCTCATCAAGGTCAATCTTCTTTATGTCCTAACCTTGCTGGACATTCCCTTGATCAAACATATGATACTGGGAGGCATCCACCAGCTTTCCCTTCTCTTGCATATCCTTAAGAACCACATCAAGTCCGCGGGGAATCCTCCCATGACGTTGGAATGCCACCTTCAAGTCATCCAATTTGAAGCAGAATCCCCCTGTAGCCTGGGCATATTTTACAATAACACCTTCCCAGAACTTCACTTTGGCATCCCATCCAACTGAGTTTGTTGCACGGGGACGAAAAGGTGCGAACATTACATCCATTCGACTGTCATCATCCCAACTCTCAGGCTGCCACTTTGTTGCCATTATTACACCTATGTCTAAGGTCACAAATGTAAATTAGGCTTCCAGGTTAATGTCCAGAAGGTGTGACGCTCTCCAATTTCCAACTTTTTGCATCACTCTCACGAACAGAAGACAACTTGGGATCAATGTACTCCAAAGTATCATAAAACCAGTACAAGGCCCTGGGATACCACTTATGTAGAGACTGGCGTGAATTCGGGTTATTGCAAAGGGATCGCCATGCCAAGAATGAAGACAGAAAGAGACCAGCCTCAGCAGCAATTATGACTTTCAAAACTGTGCCACCATGTTTCTTATACCAAGGCTTTGGCCTTCGAGGAATCATCAGGACACAGCATGAAGGTTGCTAAAAGGAACAAGGAACAGCGGCAACTCAGATCATCTTGTGGCACTGGCCTAGGCCATGCAATATGCGTAATTAATTGATTAACCAAAAGAACATAAAAAAAACTATGTATCAGCTGTAATGATACTAGGATAGGCCAAACCAGTGAACACAACATAGGCCTACGACATTAGGTTAAGGGTCTCAAGTTAACCAACGCCATCGACTCGACTGACGTGGACACTTGACACTGGAAAAAAGACAAGCATATATTTGTTTTTCTTTTGGTTCACAGGCCGATCCTTTTCATGTCATAGGCCTGTACAGCCTAACGTTAGATTTCAGTGGAGACGCAACATTTCTATTTAACTTCTAGATGTCCCAACTACATGATTCGTGCAAAACGCTGATCGGACACTGCTGTTACCCTCCGCCTGACCTCATGCCTAAGGTGGAGTTAATATTTTGACATGGAAAGAAAAATAGTGAACAGGCACATGTGACAACGTAGTCACAGCATGAGAACACGCCAGTGTTGTTATTCCTTGGATTCATTTGTAGTTATTTGCAAGTGAATTCGTACTACCTTTAACAGTGTACATGCTATTTCTATCGTGCTTGTATGGGTTAGAGGGTATATCTCCCATATATAAATTGACACCAGGCCTTTGGATTCAATTCAAAGAGAGTAGGAATTCACTTGTAAATCTCAGTAGATTCCTCTAGCTGGTTCGGGTTCAGCTCAATACCTCTAGTTGGTCAGGGACCAGTTGAATTGTCGGTCGAATCGCTTAATCGAGATAGTACAAGACATATGAGTATGGGCATTCGTATCTGTTCAATCATTGAATGTCTACCGAGTCTAAGGGAAAAAAAGTCTCATTCCTTTTTGCAAGCCCCTTATTCCATAAGCAGTTTTTATTTATTTAGGTTCATAAACTTGTTCTACAAACCTCGCATTGAAAACTTTCTGATAAAGTTGACGATACCGAAGACATTCTCATGAAGGAAATTGTCAGGAGTGTCGGATATCCAATGACACTTGGTTGTGAAGAACAAGAAAGCCGTCTTGACAGTTATGAAGAAAGTAAACGATATTGGAACTCAATTCTTTCATGCCATTACACTACTCTGTTGATCGAAAGAACGCACAGAAAAGGGTGAAAGTAATATGTTCAGGTGACGCAAAAATAGCATGTTTTGGTTTCTGGAAATGCGTTTGGTGCGTCTTGCTTTGGCGTGAAAATCACATAAAGGAAAATATCACTTAGTGTCTTGCGCCAATCGATTCTATTGATACATCCGCAAAAGCCCCTTTTTACGATTCTAAACTTGTTTTTGTAGAAAGGGTCATTTGGTATCGTTAATACTCACGGTAATTTTCTGTGACTACGCTGACTTTCAATCAGGCCTCTCAGGATGAATCCAACTTTATCATTCAACCCAGATTTTGTTTTAAGAAATGATATTGTTCGTATTTTTTTTTTTTTTACAGCAATGAACTACTGGTCAAAGTAGGTAGCAGCTTAGCACATAAGACTTGTAGTGGGTAGAAGTACTCTTTGTTTCATTCAAGGCCATATTTAGGGGGGGGGGGGGGGGGGGGGGGTGGGGGG